TATATATGAATAGGGGGGGGGCGGATCGTACGCCCTTTGAACAAGATCAAACGTCCAAGGTGTCCGAAACACCTCGATAGCTAATCGAGCCGGTGACCACTGCCACAACCAAGAAGTGTGTGTGTGGTTGGTTTGTAATCAGGGTTTTCAATCAACTCCTCTAGGTGAACTACCAGTGATTGACTGACCCGGTTATAGCTCCCGGACATTGGCTTTTCATCCTCTCACGTTGGTGACAAAGCACCTCTGACACGTGTAAGCAGTAAGTATGGCTTCCTCAGCAGAAGCCATTTGAGACGCTTTGTCGTACAGAGGAGCATTTCCCGAGATGCAAGGGAGGAGTGATCAGGGGAACCTGAGACACTCACCCCCGACCATACTGAAGCTTTCGGAGGCATTTTGAATGTTTAAAGTTATTTAGGTACAGTTTAATTGGGTGTAATATATGGTCTCCTTGATAAAGTGAGACCAAATATCTAAATGCTGCTCTTCTTCGCCTACTGAATCCGGTTCTAGGTTACTACGCCCTCGATCGGCTGGGTTGGCAGAAATATTTGTGATTGTTGTTAGTTATGTTGCCCTCTGCCTCTATGATCTCATGTTTCCCACTAACAATGTTGTAAATCTGTCTCCTGTAAGCCTTACATTTCTCTTCAAGTGTTCATTGACTTACGTATGTCGTGAATTCGCCGTAAGCTTCTTATTCTGTTTATGATCAGGCATGTCACAAGAAATGGTCAATCTCCATGTGAAGTGGCCACTTCACAAGCACTGATGATGTCACCTCGGCCGGTGAAGAAACGTTTGCAAACAAATTGCCAAGCTCGGCGAACAGGTGAAATAGAACTCAGTTCAACCGAGCTACGAGAAACAATTTTCAATATCTATTTCAGTATTAGTTCGTACAACCATTAACCATACACTTTCGGGTGCCGATTTTGGTTGCTGTCTTTACCTACCCATTTAGATGAACAGTTGGAGAAAGACAGGAAGGTTGAAAGTAGAGTCGAAGAGAAAATGAGAATTTCAGTGGATTAATGTTGCAAAGAAATTGTGACAATGCACGAAAGCCACTGTTTACGACAATCAGCCATATCACTCAGTGTCTCCAACCATCGAGTACGATCATCCCTTGGACCCCAGCCGGGGTGTTTAACGGGACCCATGTGACCGTGTCTCTTGGTTAGGGTTTTCATACCCTCTTGCCAGGTGTTGGTTTGACCGCTCTTGGCAAAGGAAGTTGTGAGACAGGTGATAATGGGTTACGCCTTCATTTTCCCCATCAGACTGTTCTTTCTTTCATTTTATCCCGCGAGATATTTTTTTGGAACTACCACTTCACACTTGACAAACGCGTCACAAGCAATGACCGGGTGTGATCGCAAGTACAAGACACTATTCTCATCGGATGCTGTTTTTTGTTTGTTTGATCTTGTTTCACAAAAGCTCAAAGTGTTTAGTCTCATTCAGTCTTCCCGAGGATTGATATCTTCCACACTGTTATGCGGTGATGATTTCGGGGGTATTTTCAATCGTATGTCCATTGGACTCAAACTTTCGTCCTCCCAGATCTTCCACGTGTTCGGTTCACTTCTCTCTCTTACACACTCTATTGGTCACCTCGTTTCTTCTTTCCCCCACTCCCCTGCGGTTCTCAATCTCCACACCCTCAGAGAAACTGACATGCACACAGAACCAACTGGAACAGCTTGCCTCAACACAGTCCGAATTGATGAAACGTTTAAACACACTACAAGAGCAACAAGAAATTTCCAATCTATCCCTGCCCAGTCGTGTCTCAAGTTGTCAGGGTTATATGTCCGAATCGGAGGCGTATGAGACCGCGCGTCCGAAACCCGTCCACAAAGCTTCTGGCCTGATGAGTCCATCACTTCGACACCATCAGAATTCCGCCTCGTCCACAGACGGTAATTCAATACCCGACTGGGGTCAACAGATCCTGCTACAACGTAAGTTGCCGTTCCGCCTTGTGTATGAGTATGTGTTCTGTGATGGTGTGCAGATTGGTTTGTCCAATTGTTGTTTTCTTATCCCTTCAATTGACCGCTCCATTTTCGATCATTTCATTCATAACTTCTGCCGTGGTACACATTAGTACGATTCACGATTTATTTCAGTCACATTTGTTGTTTGAATCTATACCCTACCGTTGACGCCAGATAAATCCCTTACAGTACTAGCCGTGTCACCCATAGTGTCACTGAAAAGCTGTGAAATGGTTATGCTACTGGACAACTATTTAAGTTTTTTGCAGTGGATACTATTGACCGTACACGTTTACATCAATTCACCAATTTTTCAAGGTCAAATGCTGACCTTCAACTTCTATTTTATGAAATCTTTCTCTGTTTTCGCGAATGACGTTGGAATTTCAACGTTTTCTCATTCCGTGAATAATCGTTACAATCGGTTGAGAAATAAACGTCAAGGGCACCATAAAAAGCATCGCGCTGGCTGGCAGGTTGCGCTCCGAAGAAGTTCTATCATCAAGATGACCATTCCGTCCATTTGTTCGAGTAACATTCGCTCACTTATGGGAAAAATGCATGACGTCCGGAATCTGGTGCAACAGAAACAATGGATTAATGTGGGAGTCATTTTACTCCAGGAAAGCTAGTTACACCCAGATATCGAGGATGATGTGGTCAGATTAGACGGCTTTATTATTTTCAGGGATGATCGGATTGTGAAATTTCGCAACAGAGGTAGCGGAGTGGTCATTTCCGTAAATCGAAGTTGGTGCAGGAACACTCGTTCGATTTTTTTTTATTCAACAAGTAAAATTATCTGTACCTTTGTTTGCTTCAAGCACCGCTTTCAGCAGATTTCGCTTCATTTACTTTGTGAATATTTATATTGCTCCAGATACACTCGCCTCGACTATTTTCTGATACTGTAGTGACGCAATTCACCAGTTTTATGGGCCAGTCCTTATGTATTACCGCTGGTGACTTTAATCTTTATGATACCTCCTTTTTAACCACTCTAGGCTTAGAGAACCTTGTCAATTTTCCAACCCGTACCAATGCCTTTCTTGATGGCATTTATGTAAATGGTCCTAATATGTTTCACGTTCTTAAACGAGCCTCAATTAGCACTTCTGACCACTGTACCATTCTTCTTTACCCCAAAATATATTGTAAAACCAATCACTGCCTTCATACACGACCNCTCCTGAGAACTTGTCCCGCCTGCGGGACCTAGTTTCTTCTTTTGACTTTTCTGTGTTTTTCCATAATCAGCTGTCTTCTTCTTGTGAACACCTTACTGATTATCTTAATTTCTGCTATGACCAATGCTGTCCTGTTGACATTATTTATATTCGAACCGATAGGTTTTCCTCACCCCTTCTTAAGCGACTTCGTCGTGCTAGAGAGACGGCATATATGGCCGACAGGCGTAACAGTGTCAAAGAGCTGTCTGTTCTGATTAGAGCAGAAGAAAGACGCCTAAACGGAATGTACGTCGAGACTGTTTTGGGCAACAAAAGCTTTCGTGAGATGTGGACTACATTGCGGAAACTCTGTGGCTCACACATCAGTTCTTGTCCCAACGTTGAGCTACTTAACCGTCAATTTG